TTTCAGCTGCTCCTTGACTTTGGGTGAAATGGCAGCTGCCAACCAGTTACCTGACTTTTTGTGAGACCACTATCATTCCCAAGATACTTCTGATTAGCCATGCACTCTGCCATAGCCTCAGGAGGTTGGAACTTTCAGTACCTGAAAGAAGAGTTTTTACCCAAGAACAGCTTGTCCCTTTAGGATCTGGCCAGTTGTCAGTGGAGGAAGGAGTTTGTCCCCTCAGATGGCTGAAAGGTAACCACATCATTGATAGGGGTTTAGGAGTAACTATAGTCTTGCCCTTCAAACTGATCTTGAGCCAACTGTGTACATACTTTGGGGCACTAAGGAAAACATATCTGGGGCAGGACCCCTTCCTAGCATTTTATGATTGGGCATGTTACAGTGGTCTCGGAAAGCCCAGTGAGGGCATAAAAGAAAGGGTCAGCCAAGAAAACCCATCAAACCCTTTCCAAAGTTATGTGCTTTTTCCTATGTGTATATTTCTTTCTCATCTTTTGTCTTTTAAAAATGTCATAAGTAATTTGTGAGTGGATTCTTATATAAGATTTAAACTATAAAACACGTATAGAAATCCTATGAAAATTTTCCTTCAATTCCCATCTCTGTGCTCCCATCTCACATGCACATGCACGCACACACACGCACTCTCTCTCTCTCTTTCTCTCTCTCTCTCTCTTTCTCTCTCTCTCTCTCTTTCTCTCTCTCTCTCTCTCATACTCCCATAGGTAATGGGTCAGTAATGTGGGCTGCATCCTTCTAGTTCTCTTTCTGTTTACAAAATCATAATAGTTTTTAATATGAATTAGCCTATGGGTTAACATGCGTGTGTGTTTGTAAATAAATAAGGTCATTCAATATGTGTTCTACAACTTGCTTTTCCACTGAATATATCCACATTCTTAGTGATATACATTTAAATTGTTTCTACTATTTTGCTGTTACAAATAAGGAAAAATTATTTTTTAAAATGTATCATGCATATGAGCTACTAATTTGTAAGATTTCTAGAAATGAAATTACTAAAATAAAGAATATAAACATTTCAAATTTTGATGGATATTCCTTCTTACAAGGCTTCTCTAATTTATACTCCCATAAATAGTGCATGAAAATACCTGTTTCTATATGTCCTTTTCAAACCTGGATATCATTCATATCTTTTTAAAGGCATGGGTGAAAACCTCCTTAATGTAATTGCTTATCTCAGGAAGTTTATGGTTTGCTGAGAGTGTCTCTTTGAGCTGAGATTTCTCACCCATCTTGTTTTTAAATGAACAGATTTACAATGTTGATGGTTAGTCTGGTTATTCTGGAGTCCTTATGGAGAATTGCATGTTTTAGTGTTTCACTATTAAAGAACTGTCACTTATTTGATATTTCATCTGTACCAGGTACTATGCTAAGAGCTTTGATTATATATCTTTTAATTCTCCTAGCCTGTATTAGTCATCTGTTCCTTGGTTACAAATTACCCCAACACTTAGTGGCCTAAAACAACAGTCATTTATTATCTTATAGTTTCTATATGTCAGGAATTTGGGAGCAGCTTAGCAGACTGGTTCTGGCCAAGATCTCTAAGGCTGCAATTAAGATGTCAGCCAGGTCTTTATAATCTGAAGGTCTGACTGGGGCTGGAGGTTCCTCACTCACATGGCTTTTGGTAGGAGGCCTCAGTTCCTCCCAACATGGACTTCTCCATTCTAGGACTACTCGAGTGTCCTCACAGCATGGCAGCTACCTTTCCCCAGAGTGACTAATCCAAGGGAGAGCAAAGAAGAAGGCACAGGACCTTTTGTGACCTAATTTCTGAAGTTGCCAGTCATTACTTCCACTTTATTTTGTTCTCTAGAAGCAAGTTACTTAAGTCAGGCTGCACTCTAGGGAAAGGGAATTAGGTTTCACCTCTTGAAGGGAAGAAGACTATCAAAGAATTTGTAGACATGTTTTGAAACCATCGCACATCCCTATAAGATAGTTGTTAAATAGTTGTTGTTGTTGTTATTATTGTTATACCCATTTACTGATGAAAAGAATAAGTTCACTACTTATCTAGCCTTACTTCCTACCTGCTGGCCTCTGTCTTCTACTCTGCATAGACTAGCCTTCTCATTGTCCATCCCAGACACAGAGTGTTCATTCTCAGCCATTCATTCAACAAATTCCAGTCTTTGTGTCACACATATTGTGAAAAGTAAAACAGACGCCCTTGATCACATGGAGCTTATAGTCTTATGGAAGAGAGAAACCTCAATCAAATAACCACATAAACAAATCATTGTCACTTTGAGAAGTGTTGTGAAAAGAAAGTACTCCTGAGCCTATTCATACTGTGTTCCCTATCCCCTGATGCCACCCTCACCCTTCTAACCTGGAAAGAATGTCTGCTTTGTTTTTATGTATAAAATTCTAACTTCTCTGTCAGAGTCTAATTTGAGTCCTACTTCAGCGAAGCCTGTTTCTTTCAGCTTGCATTGATGTCCTTTTCTTAGAACTTTATTCAGTATCATGTTTAATGCTTGTTTCTTTAATGTACTCTTGCCCTGTCTCTCAGTTATATTGAAAGCTCCTTGAGGTGACAGCTGTAAGTTTCCCTTAATTCTTCTACCTTCCTCACTGTTTCCACCCAGTCCCAGCAAATCGTATCGTCTCTACTTCTGCTACTACCTCTACTACCACTCAAGTCTAAACCACCATTATCTCTTGCCAAGACTACACAGATTGCCTTCTTACTGGTCTCTCCATTTCTACTGAGAGCCATAGTAGTCTTCCTACAAGGTGTCTCCATTCATGTAATTACCCCGCTTACACACCCCTTCCTATCACACCTCAAATAAAACCCATGTGCTTGTTCTGGTTTACAGAGTCCTGCCTGTTCTGGCCCTTTACTGCACAACTGGCCTCGCCGCCTACTTCTCTGTCACTCTGTCTCTCTCACATATACACACACATTATGAGATCCTGCCACCTAAACTTCTATTCTCTGAATATGCCAAGCTCTTTCCTGTACTGGGGCTTTTGGTCTAGCAGTTCCCTCTTCCCTGAAATATGCTTCATCCAATCTTCATATGATTAATTCCTTATTATTATTTAGATCTTAGTTTAAATTTTATCTCCTTATAGAGGCCTCCTCAGATCGACCAATCTAAAAGTTGCTACCCAGTCACTCTTATCAAGTTACCTTATTTTAATTTTTTTCTAGTGCTTCCCACTATCTGATATTTTTCTGTATAAAAGTATCTGTCTCCTTGCACTAAAATGTGAACACCACAGGATCCCTGACATCTGTGTTGTTCACCCCTGCTGTATAATAGGGTCCAATAGTATTTGTTATATTAGTGAATGGCTGAAAATTTGTCTTAAGCCTCTGAACTTTTCCCCTCCTAAAAGAAAAGAGGGAAAAGAGAACCTGAGTTCCCAAGTTCCCAGGCTCCTTACTGGACTCCCTGTCTCAGACCAAGCTACTACTACTTACTCAGGGAGCTTTGTTTAAATTAAATTATTTGCATAGCCGGACATGGTGGCTCATGCCTGTAATCCCACCACTTTGGGAGACCAAGGCAGGCGGATCACTTGAGGCCACAAGTTCGAGGCCAGCCTGGCCAACGTGGCGAAGCCCCCATCTCTACTAAAAATACAAAAAATTGCCAGGCGTAGTGGCATGCACCTGTAATCCCGGGCTACTCAGGAGGCTGAGGCACGAGAATCACTTGAACCCAGGAGGCAGAGGCTGCAGTGAGCCGAGATCACTCCACTGCACTCCAGCCTGGGGCAACAGAAAAAGACTGTCTCAAAAAAAAGAAAAGAAAAGAAAACATTCTTAGCATAGTACTTATTCCAATCTGGATTCTTTTCTTTGTTTTTTCTGTCACCTTTTACTAGGATGTACGCTCCATGAGAGCAGAGCTTCATGGTCTTGTTTGCCTCTCTGCTGTCTCCACAATGACTGCAGCAGTGTCTGGCACAGAGATGCCAAACATTTGCTAAAGGAATGAGTAGGGAGTCAGGTTCTGTTTTGTTTTACATCCCCCAGTGCCTACCACTGTGCTTGATTTGTAGCAAGTACCCAGAAACTGGTGGATACCCTATGAGGCCACTCTGTATATAATTGCTATTGGTAGATCTGTGTTCTTATCCTAGAATTTGGAATGGGAAAGCAGTTTAGAACTAAGAATCTTTCAAGAGTGTTTTGAGCCAAACTGCAAAGCTTTTAGAATATTGTCTCTGCAGCCTGAAACTATTACACAGGTTCCCCCAGTTCCTGTTCAAGAGCGAAGTCTAGATATTTAGAATTCTATGCCTAAATGGCAGAAGGGAGGTCCCATTTTATTTTGATTCAATTCCTATTTTAATACATTGCATCAGTCAGTGAGTCAATGGGCATTTATTGAGCCCCTTCAGGATACAAAGTAGTGCTCTGGTTGAGCTATTGAGTTTGAAATATTAGTCACATTACTAAACCAAAACCAAATCCCCAACTAGTTGAAAGTGCTGTTCAGATTGTCAGAGTGCAGTTCCTGTAGACTGTATTTTGTGAGATGGGCTTTTACTTTATATGTTCCCACCTGGGCAGGAACAAAAGTTTGGTAAATGACTGAGGTGTTACATTTTACCAAAATGAAATTTCGAAGTGATCCTTCATCATTAGCTTTCTTCCTGTCCAATTGTTGAAGGAGTGTGTGACAATTACAGCATCTTTTGGGTAATTTAAGATTTTGGAATCTTGTGCTGCCAGGACAGGGTAAAGAATAACACTTGCCTTTACTCTTTGGCACTAGTGTTCAAATTGGGCAGGGAAAGAAGGGGTATTATTGTTGCCTCCCAGATCCCAGCTCTATCCCAAGTACTATCTCCTTTACTCCTGTGAGCTGACAGGGTTGCAGAAACACATAAAATCCTAGACTGTCTTGACATCACCAACCATAGAGTTTGTGAAGGTAACATGGACTTTACAAATTCTCATTTTTTTTCACTGTTTGTTACTCTTTTTTGTTCAGATTTCTCTGTTGACTTCTGCAGTGAACCACCTCAAAGCCAATGTTAAGTCAGCTGCAGACTTGATTAGCCTGCCTGCCACTGTAGAGGGACTTCAGAAGGTAGGTGCCATGTGTGGGTACTATTTGCCATAATTCTAGCTTCTTACAAGTTTTCATTGAAAGCCTAGCATTTGAAATCAGCTGCTCCAAGAGAGCAGTAATGGAGTGTATCATTATGTCCTAAAGAATTCAGAACAATTTTGTTTTGGTCTGGTTAGGCCTTTTAATTTGCAACAGGTTACATTAGCTGTGGTTTATATGGGTTCATACCTTTTTATTTGGCTCTCTGAGTCCCAGAATTGCTCTGCTGGCTCTCTTATGTTAGCATATGTGGGTTTGCTTTTCAACTTGCTTTTTCAGTTCACCATTCACAGTGTCCTCATGAAAGCAGACCAATTGTACATGATAGTTGCCCTAAATCTCTATTATTTTCCTTGATTAAGAAACTTTAAAAAAGGAAAAAAAGAAAGATGACCCGGGGAAATGCAAAAATTAAAACTTCAGGAAACAAGCATTGGCAAGGATATTTGGAACAAAGGAAATTTTCAAACACTCCTGCTCCTGCTAGGAGTATAAATTGGTAAAAATCACTTTGGAGGCTGGGTATGGTAGCTCATGACTATAATCCCAACACTTTGGGAGGCTGAGCCAGGAGGATCACTTGAACTTGGGAATTAGAGACCAGCCTGGGCATCATAGGGAGACCTCGTCTTTACAAAAAATTTTAAAGTTAGCTGGGCATGGTGGCACACACCTGTTGTCCCAGCTACACAGGAGGCTGAGGTAGGAAGATCACTTGAGCCTGGGAGTTTGAGGCTACAGTGAGCTGTGACCAACAAGATGAATAGTACTCAGGGATCTTTAGAGCTGGATGGGAAGAGTGGATAGGGGTAGGAAGGGAGAAGAAGGTGACTAATTCAAACACAAAGAACATCATCCCCTGACACAGGAAGTGGAAGAAGGGATTCCCCAAACAGTGGATATCAAATCTAGGATCTTTGAATTCTAAAAATACGTGCTAAGTTTGATCAGATTATGTGCCAGGGTCTATGAGCATATGAATTCTTTCCACAAAGGAACAAGAAATTTCTAAGCCATAAGCAAAAACAAAATTTACTATTTTATAGCCACACCATCTGTGTGTGCTCAATCTCCATAATTTGCTACTTGGCTAATGTGACCATTCACTTACAACTTTGGGGAAAAAACAAAAGGTAGGGACAACGGTGATGAGGCCAGATTCTTGCCATTGTTCCTAGGGCCAAGTCAGGAAATGGTAGGCTTCTGTAGCCATTAGTACAGAAGCAACTCTCAGTCTTGCATTAGAAAAGGAAACTGGTTTATTCTTGAATTTATTCATTCAATAAACATTTGTGGAACTTCCTCCAGTATGTACCAGGCACTTTGCAGTTGATGGGAATACTGGTTTCAGAGTTTTGCTCCAGAGTTGACATGGCTCTGTCAGCTGCTTCCTTCAGGAGAAAAAAAAGAAAAAAATCCTTAAACAAGAGCTTACTATCTTCTGGCATCCTAATGGGCTCATACATCCAGCCAGTGAGGATTGGATTCACAAACAGTAGGTGTCTTTGAATGCCTGTAGCTTTTGTAACAGGCATTCAGAGCTTACATAGATAGCAAACCAACTTAGAGACTTTTACCCAGTGTGTTTTCTCTTTGCAAATCTGTGTGTTTATAATGCCAGGCGCTGTGTTTCTTTCAAGTGGCTCAGTTTTGAAGTGGTAGGTCATCCCAAATGCCTAACTTTATTGTATCTCATGTAATGTTTTTTAACATCATCTCCTGTTCTCTTGGATTCTTGGATATCAGTGTAATAAAAATGACCTTGGTTAAAAATACTAATGTGGCACTATAAAACTGTCAGCATGTCTTGAAAAGGCCAAAACTCACTGAATAGTAACACCTTTTTAGATGTTCCCTTAGGACAGGCCTTTTTTAAAACATGGCTTCTGAATTATATCTCCAAGTTCCCTGTCCACTTCGGCTCTTTAGGGCTAATGAAAGCAAAGTAAGCCACTACTCATATCTCCATTCAATGGTTGCTGACAGGATTGTACAGTAAAGGAAGAACAAACACTGCCAAATGAATTTTTCTTTCATCTCTGCAATGTTGAGTTTCCCAAAGCCAGAAATGGTTCCCTCCCACTTTTGCTTGAAGTGTCCTTTGCTCCTAACAAGTGGCAGTCTACTGTGTTAGCTTGGCCATCTGCCAGCCCACAGCAGGGATTGACAGAGGCAGTTTGTGAGAGAACCTTATCCCTGGGTTCCAGATTTATAAACTAATATTTTTTCTTTAGGGAAGATTTGGTTTTCCTCTAGGAAAAATCATTTAAATTAAGAAAATTGATTGATTGATTGATATAGAGAGAGAGATAGTCCTATGAATTAACTCAGTATGCACTACATGGAATCATAGTTTGAAGATATTTGAAAGAATTAGAAACACTGATTTTCATTAGGGCAGTGTTTCATTAGGGCAATGTAAATTAAATTCACAGTATACACTTCCATTAGAATGGCTAAAGTTGAAAAGAATGACTGTACCAATATTGATGAGGATATGGAGTAACAAGAATTCTCATTCCCTGCTGGTGGGAATGTAAAATGGCATAACCATTTTAGAACACAGTTGGGCAGTTTTTAAACAAGTGAAGCATGGATCTGCCATATGATCAGCCATTCACCTGCTAGGTATTATGGCGATTAGAACGCACATGATAAAGGGGAATGACCGTAAGTCCACACATAAAGACCTGAACATGAATGTTTATAGCAGCTTCATTTGTAATAGTCAAATATGGAATACGGACTGAATGTCCATGAGCAGGGGGAGAGATAAACTGTGACAGAGCCACACAATGGAGTGCTGCTCATCAGCCTGCCAAGCAGGCTCAACATGGATGAATCTCAGTTCTGCTGAGTGGAAGAAGTCACACTTTAAAAAGCACAACTTACTCACTGGTTCTACTTATATAAAATCTAGAAAATGAAGACTGATTTATTGTGACAAAGTGGATCAGTGGTTGCCTGGGAACGAGCGGTGAGGGAGTGATTACAGAGAGTCAGGAGGAAACTTTTAGAGGTGATGAGTGTTTATTATCTTGATTGTGGTACTGGTTTCACAATTGTATATGTGTCAAAACATTCAAATTATACCTTTTGGATATGTACAGTGTATTGCATGTCAGTTGTCTCTTAAAGCTTTTTTATACCTTCCTATGTGTTTCCCTTCAGAGCGTAGCTTCCATTGGCAATACTTTAAACAGTGTCCATCTTGCTGTGGAAGCACTACAGAAAACTGTGGATGAACAGAAGAAAACGATGGAATTACTGCAGAGTGATATGGTAAGGAGACCCAGCAAGTCAGCATGCTCCTACTCTCACCCTTTTTTGTGTAAGAGTCATGATGCCAACTTTCCACTAATCTGAAAAGGCCCTGCTAGGCATCTGTTCAAAAGATCTAATACACAGTATACATTGATTATTTTATAATTTGTTAATAAAGCAATTGTGGTAGATAGAATTAAAAGCCAAATCTTTTGCAAACATATTACTGAAGAAAGTAAGGTAATAAGACACAGTTCCTGAGGATGGAATGGGTAGGAGAGAAAATGGAAAGTGGAAAAGTGTCTCATTGTTTATTACTACATAACAAAGCACCCCCAGAAGTTTGTGACTTAAAACAAGTAGTTATTTCTCACTATTCTGTGCATCGGGAATTTGAGCAAGGCTCTTAGACTCCCAAATGCTGAAACGTGTGCTCCTGGATGACAGGCAGGCTGTCTAGCATGTTCCAGCTCCGCCAGGCTGTCAGTTAAATGCAGCCTACAACACATGGAACAGCACCACCCCCATCCTTCAACCCCCAGCTGAGCCCAGTCAACCCACAGAATCATGAGAAATACTTAATTGTTGCTGTTTTAAGCCACAAAGCTTTGGGATAATTTGTTAGGCAGCAACAGGTAACTGACAGAAGCAAACCTCACTCCAGTGCCCAGGAATTCTTTTCACATCTCTGGATCACTTAGTGCTGCTGCAGATGTAAGCTGTCCGCAGTCATTCAGAGGCCTCAATCAGTCACTTAACGGGTGACAGCCCCAGGAAGAATTTATGAAGGGTAAAAAAGGATGGTGCAGCCCTTGCCATCTTGCTGGGGAGATGAGTTATGTGTAACTCATCTGAAATCAGGACTATTCAAGGCGCACAAAAGTTCCATAGTCTCTCTGCCAATTTCTGGATCTGCCCCCCACCCCCACCTGCTCTTTGCAAGCTTCAGATTCCAAGTTTAAATTGAGAAGTCTGTACCAAGGAGACCTGGGCTGTATTAGCTCTAGAAGGGAGTTTTTTCCATTTTCTTCAGGACTGGCACACCTCACTGTGTTACTTAGTGGGGCTAACCCAGAGGAAAAAGCATTGATCTGGGTGTCCAGACCCCTGGTTCTGGTTCTAACTGCCGCTGAGTAACTCTGTGACCCATAGTAACAAAGACCCCTCTAATTCAGCAATTCTTTTATTATTTTAATATCTTGATTATGCTCTCAAGTAATTCACTATTTTCTAAAATAATTTTACCTAACTAAAATCTTCCTGCTTTCTAGAACCATGGATTCCCCCGTCCTTCTCTCCTCCTTTTCTCTTTATTGTTGCCTTTTGGTTTTCTTATTAAAAACAGGGTTGATTTCAGATTTCAAGGAAAACAATTTCTTTTCACCAGTTGCATTGTGTTATAATTAAATCTGTCTCTTTTAAATTTCCATAGCTGCCAATAGTAATCCTCCTACTGTCATTCTTTATGCTAGATAAGTCATAATTATAGACTCTGAAGGATTAAGCCATGCAGTTTTCCTCACTAAAGGAAAAGTGTATATAAACATGTTATACTTCAGTCTCTGGAAAGAAACTTGAGCAGTGGGAAGGGAATGGGAAAGGAAAAATAACCCACAAATGTAAGTCTTACCTAGCATAATGCTATAAGGGAAAAACTAATAATGCACATGATTGGTGGTTATGCTAAATGCCCAAAGCCAGTGGTTACATGACTGGCTGCCTTTTTAATGTCAAAGCTCTTGAGTCCAGTGGAAACTATGACACTGTCCCAGGTTGAGACTAAGTTGGTCCCTGGAAAGTTATGGTGATGCTATAGTTTCTCTGGGAGTACAGGCAATGGGGCAAAGGAGAAATGGTTTCTAGAGAGTTCATTCCTTAAGAGATTGAGAAATAGACGAGGAGGATCTCAGTTCCCTGATGTAATCTAGGTGCTGCTGGCCTAGTGCCTGCTCAAGCTGGGTTCTCTTAGAACCTAGCACAGGACTGGTTAGCCTGTATGTTCCCAGGCAATTCTTACTGATTAATCTGTGGATGTATTCTGGGGGAGGCTAGAATGTTCTAGGACAATTTCAGATAGTTAAGTAGACCTAATAATTCCTTGTTGCCTACACTAACCTTTCCTCTTAACAGAATCAGCACTTCTTGAAGGAGACTCCTGGAAGCAACCAGATCATTCCATCACCTTCAGCCACATCAGAACTTGACAATAAAACCCATAGTGAGAATTTGAAACAGGTGCTTTTTATCTCTAGCTTAACTCCCTGTGATCACAGTGCACTTCAGAGGCAGCCAGATAGTTTGGGCTTAGTGTTTGGTGTCTCAGCAGGTGCCTCCTATATTTATTTGCCTGCCTGGGAGCTGAGCAGAGAGGAATGTGTGTTGGTATCTCGGGGATCCATATTGCTGTCCATCCCTTCTTTGGCACTTTGCAGTTTTTCCCCGCATGTCAATCAGTGGAGTAAATTCCTTTTCTTACCTTGAAAGACCTAGAATGAGCAGATTATCCTGAAACTATGAAAAATAGCTATCTGGGCAGGTTAAAGATGAATGGATAGCAAATTAATCCAGAGTGATGGCTATTTTGAGCCACAGTAAATTCTAAGAATGTTAGAAAGCATATCCTTGAAAATCAGGATTTTCTAAAGTGTAAAGACGAAAAGGCAAGAGGGGAGAAAAAAGACTATTGAGTTCAGAATCACATTAAAGAGTATAGAGGAAATCTTCACTAAGAAGAATTCCTGTCCTGGGTTTAATGCCCTTTAAAACCTATAGTTATCATTCTTTTTTAAGTAGCAATCAGTACTGGAGGATGTCAATAAAAATAATTGAATCTTATACTAAATAATGCACTACTTGTTATGGTTTTGTTACATGAGCCAATTCAGTAATTGGTATTGTTCCTAAGGTAGGTTCGTTCTGACAAATTAGGTTAATGGACCTTTCAGTTAATAACCCAGCAAGCCTTTCCGCCAGCAGGTGAGGTAAACATTGGGGAAATCAATTCCCAAGCCCTCAGCTTTCTGGGACCAAAGAGTGAATCATGTAGGTAGTCCTCTTCCCTCTTTCCCCCTCCTGTCTAGCTGAGGCCAAACAATTCCAAAAGGAATAATTCAGAGTGGGAGGGACAAAGCAGACACAGATCATTGATGGTCAAAACCAGGAAAAGGAGTTTATTTCAGTACTTGACATAGTAATGGTTGTTCAGTGCTGCTGGCCTGCTTGTCTAATTTACGTCTTTAGTGGATTCCATAACTTTATTTATTTCCACTCTAGGATATCCTGTACCTTCACAGCTCTTTAGAGGAGGTAAACAGTGCCCTAGTGGGGTACCAGAGACAGAATGATCTTAAACTCGAGGGAATGAACGAGACAGTCAGTAATCTTACCCAGAGAGTCAACCTGATAGAAAGCGATGTGGTTGCTATGAGCAAGGTAGAAAAGAAAGCAAACCTGTCCTTCAGCATGGTAAGCCTTTTCTGATCTTTTGTGACATGCAGTGTGTTTTGTCTGTGCATGGATGACATTCCACCACCTTTGGAGAACAGCCTTCTGGCATATTTGAGAGGCTACGCGTTTGTATTGTGCTTAATCCGTGTCTCCTTTAATGCTCACACTAGCTGTGTGATGTGAATGGCCAGGCAGTGTTTGTCCTGATTTGGAGAGGGAGATGTGGAGAGGTCAAGTCGCTTACCAAGGCCTCACCACAAGTTGTTGGCAGAGATGACAAGGCTACTGTCATGTTACCAGTGAGCCATCTGGTAGGGAAGCGCTAGCACGTGTTTCCAAGAGCCTTCTGGATCTTTTCTTTTCGAAGTTGTTAGGGGTGGGAGCCATGAAAATGATAGTAACCAAAAATCTTTTACCATTTCTATAAGCCTGAACTTGGCTTTCATATTTATCCTGCTGTTTATATATTAAGGGGAACCTTTTGCATATGTCAGGAAACAGATCAGGTCAGACCAGCTCCCCAGCTTAAGAGGTCGTTGAGTTCACCTCCTTATTTTACATGTGAGGAAACTGACCTGCTAAGTCGCTCTTGCTGGCAGACTGTGCAGTTTACTGGTTTTCATATTGCTGTGAATAAAATGTGCAGTTTCACATAAACATTGTGCAGGGATCCACGTGGATTCTTTGTTTAATAACTGCAGCCCCCACCCTTAAAGATTTTGTACAGCGAAGACACAGGCATATATTTAAAAATAGAAACCAAATACAGGAAATTGTGCCATAAACTCAAGTAACCACCAAAGCTGGAAGCAAGCCCACAAATAAAGTCGAACCCTGGTTCATGGAAAGCAGCATTTGAACTGGCTCTGCCACAGTGGAGCCTTGGCAGGTTGCCTGGACTTGGCTTTGAAGGGTGGAGTGGGAAGACCTATTCCCCCTCCTGCTTTACAGGGGTGTATAATTTACTACAAAGCTGTGAAGATTAAAGAAGCTTTATTTTACAAAGCCTTTTGAACTCAGCTAAACTAGGTTGGCTAAGAATTTTCGTTGATGAGTGTTATGCCTTGAAAGTTTTCAAAGCTTATTGTGAAAACTTACCACTCCTAAACTCTCTTTACTGTCTCTGCCCTCTCCCCCTACTTTATATTTCTCCAGCAGAGAAAATAGGTAATAGTATCCATCTGTCCTACTGTTTCTTAGCGCAGCATCATACTCAGTATGATATTTTGGGTAAAAGTTCTACCACCTTTTATCCTTCGAAGTCTTAAAGTTTGTGACTGAAACAGCTAGAAGCACTAGTTTCAACTTTGTCTCTCTGGCCTTTCTCTCTCTCTCCTCCCATCTCCCACTCCTCTGCAATTTCTGTTGAGAGTGTTCTGAGATCCTTTAAATAAGTTTGACCAATTTATTTAAAAGTGCTAGATGTTTAAGTTTTAATGTTTGCCTTTAATCTTCTCTTTTTTTTGTTTGTTTTTGTTTTGCCCTTTAAGATGGGTGATAGATCTGCCACTCTGAAAAGAGCATCTTTGGATCAAGTCACCAACAAAACAAATACAGTAAAAATCCAAAACATAAAGGTAAATAATGGGAGGCTTACCCTGAAGTAAAAGTAAATGCAGCATCATCTCTGTGGTTTTGATCTCCTGCTTTTTCAAAGGGAGTACTTTTGGTCTCATGTGTTGAAACTTCAAAACAAAGCAATTAGTAAATTAGTATATTAGTGAATAAATGAATACTTTTTTAGGCACCTACCCTGTGCCAAACACTTTAATAGGAGCTGGGGTGACCATAGTGAGCAAGGCAGACATGTGACCCCTGTTCTGGTGGAGCTCAAAGTCCTGTCAGTCAGAAAATCATTAACACATAATTGAACAGGTCATGTATCATGAGTATGACAAGTATTATAAAGGACAAATACAGGATATGACAAGATCAAGAAGGCTTCCCTAAGGAAATGACTTTTATGCTAAGACAGTAAGTTATCTGTACTGATGATGGGGGACAGAGGCACAGATAATCTGAAAATGGTGTCTCATCTAAAAATTATTTCCTATTTTTATATTGCAATCTCATTTTATTCATAGTCCATTTAAACCTCAGCCAGTTCCCTTCACCTTGTACCTTCCCCTTTTTTGTTCTTCCCAGACAGATATACTGTCAAGACAAGCAATCTATGATATGCTTTGATATTCCAGGAAAGAAAGTGTGATTACAGTATTCTCTGATTAGAGAGTTAAACCATGGGCTAAGATAAAGGAAAAGCCAGGAAGATTATGACCAAGTGACTAAATTACCATCTCAGATGCATATTATGTTTGAGAAGTTGGGAAGATCTGAGGTTCAGAGGAAAGGAACTTGAAGTGAAACCACAGTACAGGCAGCTTTTGATGTAATGCTTTCCATCTTTATTTTTACTTCCTTAATAGTTTTATATTATCTAGATAAAGTCACAATATATTAAGGTTTTAATGCATCATAAGCTAAGCTTTTGTTGAGTTTTCTAACTGCTTTTGCAAATTTTTTTTTAAACCTCACCTACAGAAGACAGAAAAACTTAAGAGCCAGATATAAATGTTGAGCACAAAAAACTAACAGGGAGTTACTATCAGAAAATAGTAGCAATTTCAGCCACAGTACACATTTTAACAATAAATGGCAGAACACACTAGTACACACATGTACATAAATTTCATCTTGGCTTTGCTTTCAGGCCCTTGTTGTTTTTAACTGTCATCTCAGTGTATCAGTTCCTTTGTCCTGCCTTATCCAGACATCCTAACCAGATACAATTTCTCCTTACCATTAATTATTCAAGCATTTAGTACCTAGTTTTCACTACATATGTTCATATTTTAGCTCCCTAAATAAACTAAGTGAACTACTGTACAGTAACTATTAGAGTAGAAATAAGATAGGGGCAAGATAAGTAAATACATAATAATTATACAAGATAAGTAAATCATCATAATTAATAAAAAATGTGTAATGAGTTGGTGTTCTAATTAAGCATAGGCTCAGGACCTTTCACACTTGTCTAAGCAGTTAGAAACAAGCCTCATAGAAACCAGATGTCTCTCTTTTTATAATTAAATGTATTTGTTTATGCCACTCTTAATACTCCTGGGAATGAGGCAGGGTATGGGGGAAAAAACTTTAAAAGATATGAGCAAGCAAGACTTTGAATTAGAAATATTACAGCTCCTTCTTTGTGTCCTAACAGTTTCTGCCACCAGTTGAATCATCTCCAGGGGAGATCAGGGGAAAACTTGTAATTTGTTTTTGTTCAGTTGCTTCTTTTTGTAAGGTGGTAAGAGCATGAAATTCTGCCTGAAGTGGTCTAGTCACACGGTGAAGCAAGATATTTCGGAAAGTTATTTAGTTAGTGTGAAATAGCTCCTAGAAAACAAGATCCTGCTCATTTAGAAAATGGGTGTTAGATAGGCACCTGAGCAAGGGTACATTTCCTTTACTGCTGACACATGCATTCCTTCCCCCATCAGCCAAATGTTCACAGTGAATCAGATCATCTGTAGCATAATGTTCCCTTAATGGTCTCAAATCCAGCAAGATACTTATCAGCACTGAGGACCAAAGACATCACCAGTATATGTTGATTCATTCTTTTATTGTCTTTATAGGGAACCTACTGAGGGTCAAGCAGTACAAGCTAAACAGGCTCTGGGAATACAGTGGACATTTAGATGAAGTCTTACTACCACCTTAAACCTTCTGTAATCTTTGTTTTGGGCAGAAAGAAGATAGTTCAAATTCTCAGGTATCCAAGCTAAGAGAGAAACTCCAGCTGATCAGTGCTCTTACAAACAAACCTGAGAGCAACAGGCCTCCAGAGACCGCCGATGAAGGTGAGAGCAGAGCCAGCTTCTTAATATTTCATGGAGGCTTGAGCAGCTTGCCTCGCACACGGAGAGCAGGGAAGGTGTTCCAGCAGTACTGATCGCACCAAGCGAGTGATGCCTGAACGCACCGAGATGAAGCTGATACACTTTGCTTTCATTTAGAAAAGGCCCATTTTGTACATGATTTGTACTCTAGTCTATTAAGGGAAGAATCGGTAATGTTTAGCTGGAAATAGACTTCTCCATGCTGTCTGCATCCAATTATAGGCAAAAATGTTACTGTCATAGCGTATATTAAACCAGCCCTGAAAGTTGTTTATGGGAGTCTTTTCCCTTCTGTAAGTGCATAACATGTATTTAAAAATAAATGTCCTTCTGAAAATCGTTAACAAAAATAATGATGGCATCTTTGGGTTGGAAGGGTCTTTGGCTTTAGGTATGGACCTGTCTGATCAATATTAGCAGATACATTAGCCTCCACTGATTTAGACCCTGTGAGGACATAATCAAGGCACCGGACTGTGTTGGCTTTGACCCTTTCTGCACACAAGTATTTTTCTGTTTTAGAAAAGCAGTACAACCTCTCTTGAATTCTCTTTTAGATAGGAGACAGAATTGTGGTGAGATGCCTTGTCCTAACATTGTGCTACATCATCTTACGGTCGCACTCTTAGCACTAGCTTAGTGGGTGACACTTACCCCTAGACTAGGTTTAAAGCACATCTCCCAGGATGTCAAGATCTTTGATATCCAGCCTCTATGTTCTCGTCACTTGACAGCTTAAACTCTTACCATCTAAACATGTATAATGCTAGCTTGTACTGTAAGATCTTCTAATGGGACTGCTACTGCAAACCTTAATGTAGTATAATACTGATTGGTCCTCCCTTGCCCACAAATGTCTCAGCAATCCAGGCCTTTAACTCCACGTAGTCACTATCCTACTTAATCTCAAATGTTTCTCTAAATTAATTGTATATTCCAATTTTCCTAAAAGGTGACCTTCGATGCTTGTTTACTTTTGGTGTTAGATTCAATAATCATAATAAAAATAATGTATTGTTACAGAGCAAGTAGAGAGTTTCACATCAAAGCCATCAGCATTGCCAAATTTTCACAGCTTGGAGATCCAGTTGAGAAAGCTGCCCAACTACAAAGACCTGTCTCTCTACCAGGAGTTTCTAGCGAGGTAGAAGAGTTTTTATAACCATGGGGTAGTAATGGGAAGTTCCAAGTAATAACTTTTTATGTTTGTTTCACTTGTCAAAAAATATAATGAAATCTACCATTTATTGAGCAGATATCAAGTGCCAGATACTTGATATGCATTATGTCATATAATCCTGATAACCACTCCATGAACACATAAGTATTTATGTATTATACCCATGGTTACTGATAGGGAAACTCGCTAAGTCCACACACCAAATAATGGTGAAACAGAATGCAAACCAAGACACGTCCCAAAGCTTGTAACTTTCTTTTTTTTTAGACCCCAGGCTTGGAGTGCAGTGGCACAATCTGGCTCACTGCAACCTCCGCCTCCCACGGGTTAGCCACCATGCCTCAGCCTCCCACAAGTAGCTGGAATGACAGGTGTGCACCACCAATGCCCGGCTATTTTTTGTATTTTTAGTAAAGATAGGGATCTGCCTGCCTCGGCCTCACCAAGTGCTGGGATTACAAGCATGAACCACCTCATCTGGCCCAAAAGCTTGCACTTAACCCAGTGTACTATGTTGTTTTCTGTTACTGTTTTTTAGGATCTTCTATTCACTGAGTGCCTCATTAAACCTAGTGCAAGCAATAAGAATACAGTGTAAGATATGGTCTCATTTTCTTTCTTCAAGGATATTACAGTCTAATGGAGAAGGCATGAAAGCAAATATAATACCATGAGATTAGAAAATAAAGTAAGATTGACCCTGTTTGTCAGGGCCCTCCAAAAATGAAGAGCCCTTTTACTGAAAATCAGCAAAATATTAGTAGAAAGGATATGATTCACAGAAAAAATGTGTTTGCATTGCTTCCAACAGTGTGTGTTTCTATCCCTCATAGGTGTATTTAGTGCCTCCTGATTTTGTATTAGCTGGCTGCCTGGTAAATCACCTTGCTCCTGTCCACCCCACCTGCTCTGCTCTTCTCTATACCATTCTACCAGAACATTTCCTTACCTCCCGTGACTGAATTTAGGCTCCTCCTGTGTGCTCTTAAATTTTGTTTGCCCCTGTTTAGCATATGTCACTCTGTTGTAATTCCTGGGGAGATACAAAATATAACTTCCCTTGGGACTATGGTCA